AGAGGTAGAAGAAAGAGGTGTATGGAGAGCAGAAGAGCCAATAATGGGTTTTTATCTTTCTGGGCTTTGATGACAAGTGGAACCGATTTAATTACTACTTAATACAATAGGATATTGGCTATGGAATAGTATACATGTGATTGTATGTTATGAAAGTGGAAAATAAAAAAAGTATATTTCAAACCTCCAGTGTTGGAGCACCCACAACTTCTTGAGGCACGCAGTTCCATTGGCTAATTCTTCTGTCAGGAAATTCCTCCTTAGTTCTAGTTGCTTCTCTTGTTCTGTTTCCACCTGTTGTTTCTCCACCCCAGAAGTAAGGAGAAATTCCCTGACAGTGAGAACAATGAATCAGTGGGACAGAAGTTGTGGGGGCTCCATCCCTGGAGGGCTTAAGGAGAGATTGGACGTCCCATGGTCTGGAATGGTACGGGATCTCCTGCTTGAGCTGGGGGTGGACTAGAAGACCCCCCAAGGGTCTCTTCCAATTCTTGTTATTGTTAGACCGTAGTGGAGGAGGCGTTGCAACACTTAACCTGTCTTGCACCTTCAAGAAGGCATCTATGCACCAAGATTGCCGGTGCACAGACTCCGATAACCTTTTATTGCAAATTCATTTGCAATAATGGTTTCTTGCTGGTTTAACATTAGTTATGTTTGCCTGCCTGCTGCAGCCTCCTTCCCTCCCACCTGGGCTGCGGCAGGGCATCAAACCTGCCCTTTTTTCTAGCAAAGGCTTCACCTTCTGTCCTAGTCTTCTCCACGCTGGTGCCCTCAGAAGCGTTGGAGACCCCTGGAGCAGGAGATTGGCTTCTTCCTGGCTTATCAAAGCCTGCTCAGAAAAGACCCAACATTCGCATGGCTTCAGGATAACAGGGAGCCCTACCTCTCTGCCCCCCCACCTCTTCAATAACCACCCCCCCTTTTTATCCCTCCCTTGCAGCAAGTTTGACCTCTACACCAAGTGTGAACAGCTTCCCGACCCACAGCAGCTGAAGCCCTACTACGAAGGCTTGATAGCCAAGTACTGTCCAGGCCAATTGTCCTGGTGATGGCTGGAACCTCAACGGCAATGGGCCACTCACTCTGCTCCAGCTTCTTGCTTGCAGCAGCTGCTCTCCAGATGTTCTGGACCCTCTTACTTCCATCGCCCCCCTCCGAGGAAGGAGAGGATGTGAAGGTCCAAGGGCTCCTGTGCTCCAAATGATGCTTGTTATTTTAATTGTTCAATCCTTCTTAGCAACTTCTCTCCACTTTATCCCGTCAATTGCCTTTTCTTTCCATTGTTGCATGTTCAACTTTTCCATCAGTTTCGATGCTATCAAGCCAGCATGGTCTTTGCTCGCCCAATTCTTCATCCACTAAGTCAGCAGCCCCCCCAATCCTTTTGGGGACCAGTTCCGTGGTTTTTTTCCCATGGACCGGAGGGGGGAGGTGGTTTCATCTCTGTTAGGCTGTTAGGATCTGGATGGGGGTAAACAAACTCGTGCTCAATCCCGACAAGACTGAGTGGCTATGGATGTTNCCAGCAAGAGACCCATTGAAGTCTGCTCCCCCCTACCTCCCAAAAGAGAGATGTCTTCATACCTGTGAGTTTCCTACCAAGTCGCAAAAGAACTTGCTCTTCTTAAGGTCCTCCCTCATTTTCAACATTTGCCTGAACAGTTAGAACATAGAATAACAGAGCTGGAAGGGACCTTGGAGGTCTTCTAGTCCAACCCATGCTCAAGAAGGAAAACCATACCATTCCAGACAAGTTCTTCTTGTAAATCTCCAGTGATGGAGCAGCCACAACGTTTGGAGGCAAGTTGGTCCACTGGTTAATTGTCCTCGATGTCAGGAAATTCCTCCTTAGTTCCAAGTTGCTTCTCTCCTTGATTAGTTTCCATCCATTGTTTCCTGTCCTGCCTTCAGGTGCTTTGTAGAAGAGGTTGACCCCCCAATTCTCTGTGATAGCTCCTCAAGTATTGGAAGACTGACATCATATCATTCATTAGACTAGACTTAGCTAGTTCCCTCAAGTTTGAAGAGGGCATCATACCCTCTAATCCAGTGGTTCCCAAACTTGGCAACTTTAAGACTTGTGGACTTCAACTCCCAGAATTCTCCAGGCAGCCTGGAGAATTCTGGGAGTTGAAGTCCACAAGTCTTAAAGTTGCCAAGTTTGGGAACCACTGCGTCTCTAATCCATCATAGTGCCCTCACAGTTCCTTCTCCCTAGAACGAGCAATATGGTGGCTGCAACCTCCGTCAGATGACCATCATGGAGGCCTTGGAGTTGCTGGACAATGTGGTGGATGAATCGGACCCCGATGTGGACTTCCCCAACTCCTACCATGCCTACCAGACAGCAGAGGGCATTCGGGAGAAACATCCTGAGAAAGGTGAACTCCTTGATTAGACCTATAGTCTCTAGGAGAACAAGAGGTTCTCCCCATTTCTACCTAGATGCAGAAGATGACAATTGTAGGAGGGTCCTGCAGAAATTAGAAGGATCAAATTATTTGGGTGTCAGGTCACGTCTAGTTTCCAATTCTGAGAGATGATGGAGTCCATCATCCATAATTCTCCATCTACCATAGCAGAAGATGCTCTGGGACCATTGGTAACCATTGAGCGATGCCATCTCCATATGTCTTCAACACATGATGACCTCAAGCAGAGGAGAGATGTTTTCCAGGGAGCCATCAGCACTCCTTGCTGTCACCAGGAGAGGACCATGCTCAGCTGGGTCCAAGGAGCTTCCTCCTCACCCACCAGATCTTCTACATAGCTTAGTCCTGCTCCGATCCTAGCATCAAGAAGTTCCATGAGGCACCGGGTCTAAGTAGATGCCCCAACTAAGGTTGGAGGGACCTGTCAAGGGACTGAAACAGATTCTCTGGTCCCACCCTAGATTGGTTCCACCTGGTTGGACTGCTCCATGATTTGGGGAAGATTCTGGCCCTGTCTGGTGAACCACAGGTGAGATGAAGAACAAGAGGCATGGAATGGGTCGACATTCCCAAGCCCTACCCCTTAATATCCCCCTTAATTTATTTTAGGGGCAGAAAAATGAGAATTATGCTCCTGGAGGCAACCTAAAGTCCCAGCATCTCTAATTGATACACTAAATCAAGGGTCTCCAAACTTGGAGACTTTAAGACTTAATTTATTTAATTTAATTTAATTTAATTTAGGGGCAGAAAAACGAGAATGGGTGGATGGGTGAGAAACCTAAAGTCCCAGCATCTCTAATCGATACACATTGAGGAATCACTAAATCAAGGGTCTCCAAACTTGGAGACTTTAAGACTTGTGGACTTCAACTCCCAGAATTCCTCAGCCGACCAAGGAATTCTGGGAGTTGAAGTCCACAAGTCTTAAAGGTGCCAAGTTTGGAGTCCTCCTGCCATAAATGAAATGGTGCGTTTAATTGCACACTTGCCAATCCTGAGGATAGGAAAAAGGGGGTTGGTGGCAGGACAACACTATCAAATAAAGAGGAACCGAGGTGAGATGGGCTGTTCTGACCTTGGTTATTCCCACAGTGGTCTGTGGTGGGAGATACCTTCCCGGTGGGCTGCCAGCTGCAGGACTCCATCGTTTTCAAGGACTCCACGTTCCATGACAATCCAGACACTAGGAATCCTCTGTACACGTAAGTTCTTGCTTTGAGGCCACCCTTGGATGGATGTAGAGGTCTACAAGGCAGGGCAGGTGGAGCCGAGATCAGCAGAAGTTTGTCTCCTGGTCTCCCTGGTCCTCCTTCCACTGTTGCCTCTCCATCTCTGATGGAAGACCTGATCTGCTGAGGTGTCTATGGAGGTTCTCAGTCATCCATCATGTCAAGGTTGTTCCCGAAGGTGCTTTTTCTTTTCAAGAGGCAACTGGACTTTCTGGTTTTTCTTCGAAGAGGTTTCGCTTCTTGTAACGTTCCCGTGGTTCGTCCATGAGGCCAATGTGGAGAAAAGACACGGACACCATCTTTCTCGGGATGGAGCGACCCAGATTGGGGGTCTTCATAAATGACTTAGATGAGGGAATAGAAGGGGAACTCATCAAGTTTGCAGATAACCCTAAGATGGTAAGAATAGCCGACACCCCAGAAGACACACTCAGGATCCAAAAAGATCTTGACAGACTTGAACATTGGACACTATCTAACAAAATGAAATTCAATGGTGAAAAGAGTAAGGTTCTACATTTAGGTAAGAAAAACCAAATGCACAGGTGCGAAGTAACCATCCTCTGCTACCAAATGTGATGTTCCCGTGGGTCGTCCATGAGGCCAATGTGGAGAAAAGACA